AAGCATGTTTGTGTTGATACAGCAACCAGACACGTATTGTACAAAAAATCCCAAATAAAACTAATAATGTAAAAAGTTTATAACCTATTTCAAACTGTGGGGAATATTTTTAAAATGTAGAATCAAACAAACTGAAATGAACCTGTCTACAGCTCGTCCTCCTGCTCACAATCAACAAGCTGCACACAGTTAGCTCATTAAAGGTTATCTAGCTAAAACTGGCAACAGGGGCGGTTCTAGACTAAATTTTCCAGGGGGGCCACAGTGGGGCCAGTATTTTTTCATGGGGGCGCAAGAAAAAAAAATTCATAATAAAAGACAACGAACAAGTAAACTATTACGGCGAATGCAGTAATGGTTTACTTGTGAAAGTAAAACTGGCATGTTTTTATGGTACTCGGATAACAATTCTGAATGCTTCTCCGCAACATGAGACTTGAGTAAAAAAAATAATTCTAGTCAATTATTATAGTTTGTGACTTTATTTGAAGATTATATGAACTGTACATATGAAAAATAAACATTCAAACAAATAAAATATCTGCACAATACAATTTGCTTTTTGTAGTCAACACACACACACACACACACACACACACACACACACACGCGTAAGCATAACCACTTCACCAATTGTTTTGATATATTCCCGATTTTCTTTAACCTTTTACTGTGTTCCTTGTCGAGTATATTAGCCAATGTTGTATTAGCTTTCACAGCCCGCTGGTAGTCCCTCCACGCTATCATTGAATCCTTATGCCTTTCAGACTTTGCACGTACCAAAAAAACCCTCCTCCTCTCTCAGTTGCTTTTATCCAGTTCCTAAATCCACATGGTGAGTCAAGCACACTTCCTGCGCTACTTGGTGAGCTAAAATGTCTGCATGCATGACAATAAGTAGAGTCCATAGTAACAGAATATTCAACCCAGGGATGACTTTCATACCAGCTTGGCTGTCTCCTATTAATGTCACTGGAAATGTCCTCAAATGACGCTGAGTAGGTGGGTCATCCTTGCACTTGCTGATATCTGAAAGAAAATAAATGTTAGCATGAGGATAAAAGTCATAATAAGTTAATTCAGAGTCTTATTTTATCTATTTATTAAATATAAACAACAGAAATTTTGGTCCAGAGTCAGCATGCCTCAAATGCATTTTACACACAATATGAGCTGCAATCACAGAGGGGTTGTTCAGCACCCACAAACCTGACGGTAGTGTACACGGTGCACATGACAAAAGATGTCCCTCTTTTTGCTCCTCACTCTCTTCCTCACAGCCTACATCTTCCTCCTCCTCACTCTCAGGGTGGACAGTCTCTGACCTCTCTGGTTCCTCTCCAACCAACTCCTCCTTCTCTCTTTCATCCTGCTTCTCAGCTCCCTTGTGACTTTCATCCTCTCTCTGTCTACGATGTTCTTTATTAACAGCGGTAAAAAGGACAACATGTCCATTTTTCTTTTCATGGCTGCTGATGCTTCCAGTCAGTGCTGTGAGAAAGTCATAGATAAATGAATACTGTGATCTAATCTCAACGTGTCTAAGGCTTAAAATGCAGCAACTTCATTTTTATTTTACAGTTAATGTTGTAAAGGAAAAACAAATCAGTGTTAACTGTGGATAGACTCAGTTAGGAACTTAAAAGTAAATGACAGAAACGCGCGACTATGATCAAAACACTGATGTCAGGACAATAAACTGTATTGCTTACCTTCGTCTCTTAGCGTCTTTTCCGTTTGGCGTCCTCAAGAACTTCTTCGGGTCCCATTTAAACTATTTTTAATCTTTTATTCAAAAATCCACCGAGTAAACAGTTCTGTCCACAGAGTGTGCTGTGCTTTAAAGGCTCCGTGTGAAACGCTGCAGCGCATTAGTTCCCGTCTCCGAGGCAGCGCGGGAAAAAAAATAAATCTGACCTCTTCAGCACAGGAGCCAGGGCCGGTTCTACAGGGGCCCAGGCCCCTGTGGGCCCCCGTTTAAAACCGCCATTGACTGGCAACATAAAATATCATCGTTGGCTTATTTTGGTATGAAGCGGTTAGCTAACGCTTCACAATGCAACAAAATGGTGACATTTCATCAACTTATTGGAGAAAATCCTTCAGAAACACCGAAAATGAACTACGGTCAGTGCAGCAGCGGGGCTGTTTGGAACTATTCCAAGCTATATGAACCACGTGACTCCCGCATTCCATTCTTTCCATAGAAGTGTCGTAACTCTCTCTTTCTACAGCTCTGACAGAACCCTGCCCTCCTCTCCCAATGATTGGACAGAAATTCGAGAAACGTGATTGGTAGCTAAGACTCGTCCTCTCATTGGTTCCACCCAAGTTCCTCCCACTGACGCTAGAATTGAAACAACATAATCCGTAACACTGTAGATTTGAGGTTTGTACCTGTAGAATGAAATGTGTGTTTTGAGAGTTTTGATTTCAAACTTGTACATTGATTTTTTTTTATTTTGGAAAGTCTGCTAGGTAAAAACCGAAAGTTTCATGTTTCTGAATGAATGTTTGATGTTACAACATGAGTAGTAAATGTACAAAATAAAAGTTTGATTTTACAAAATAAAAAATACATGTACAAAATACAATGTTCCTGTTACAAAACAAGAAATACAAGTACAAATTGAGAATTACAAGTAAGAAAACTAAAGTTACAAGTTACGAATCCAAAGTTACGTGTCATGAAACATGTTCCAAGTTACAAAACTTGGTACAAGTTACACTGAATATTGTCCCAATCTTAGCTCCATAAATTGCAGATTTAATAAGATTTGTTCATTATTAAGAAGCAAAGCAACATTTTAGCATACTTTTAAAAACACATATGGTCATATGTCTTTTTTTTTTCTTTATATAAATTATTTTAGATACACTCACTGACTTGTCTATTCTACTGGACTCCAATGCTGCTTACACAGTATTTGGTTTTATTCTATGCATTCGTTCTGTGTGTTTCTTCTAACTGCAGAGGACGGTGTCGCCCTCTGCTGCCCGCGCTCTCCTGACCGATGACACAGTCCCATGAATGAGCCAAAGTGTTGACCCCATTGTCTCTGTTCAAGGCGGGTGCCTCAGGGGGGCTGGGGGCCAGCAGGGCTGGGGGCCAGCAGGGCTTGGGAGGGGCTCGCCCCTGCAATGAGGCAGGTGAGAGGGAATGGCGCCTCTAACACAAACAAATGATGGAACTGATTGATCAACATGTAGGTTGCCCAAACCTGTCACTACCTTCTTTTGGGCCATTCCCATCTGTACCGGGTCGGGCCGGCCCGGGTAGCGTAGGTTGTTTACATATCTGGGTGGCCTGGTATTTTTCCGGGCCAACCAAGGCTCATTCTCAGCTCTCTTCTCGAGGGGGTCTGCTTCAGGCCGACCAGGGCCAACACACCCACTGCTGACAGCAAATTCTCACCTTCCATTATAGCAAGCCTCTGATTGGTGGGTAGAATCAGCCCACATGGGCTTAAGGCAAGGATGTGTGGAATCAACTGGGCCAGGCTGGGGCTGACCGGGGCTATCCGGCCCGGGCCGACCCGGTACAGATGGGAATGGCCCATTTGTCTCAGCCAGCAGCCTATCTCAGCCTTTGCTTAATGGCCATAGAAAATGACTTACTGATGGAAATAAACAGCTCAATGACTAAGTTATTAAAGTCTTCCTGCACAGAGAGGAGGATGATTTTTGTCTATACAACCAAAGGACTGTCAAATACAAAATGCTTTAAAAAACCTGTGGAAGCAGAAAGTACAATAAACAAATCAGCCGTAACAGACCACTGCACAAGGGAGAATCATATAATGGACTGGGACAGAACAAGAATCATAAGCACAGAACAACAAAATACAAAAGATGGATTAAGGAAGCTGTAGAAACAAGGAGACAAGGACACAGGATCATGAACAGAGATGATGCGGTATACACATTGGATCACGCATGGGACTGTGTCATCAGCTAGGAGAGCAGCAGAGGGCGACACCGTCCACTGTGGCCCGCGGATAAACGGAGAAGGAAGTGATGCCACCAACAGCAGTGAGCTATGAAGAAGACTGCAGTGGTGATCTAAACGTCTGTGTTAAATAAAGAACTAAATAATACAGTATTTTGTTTTGTTTTGGTGTGTTTACTCTGTTTTGGTAGTAAAAACTGATACACTTGCACTTGGCTGACAGCATGGATTTAGGTTTAAAGAAAATAAAAACCTTCTTCAACTTTTCCAGTTTTAAGATTTTCTCATAGGGATGCATGTTTTCTGAAATGACGCCTTTAACGGTTAATAGTCGGTTAACCATCCCCTCCCCACACCCCCACCCCACCCACAAACACTCCATGCACAATTTGCTCCTGCTCTATAAATAATACAAATGCTTTTCCCATCTACTCTTTTTGATATAATTTTGATGCACAACCTGAGTCCCAGACTCGTTACAACATCTCTAAACAGGAAAGAGGCAGGAGAGCTGAAATGTCTGTCAGAACCTGCTGCACAGCGGGCCGTCTGGCATCGAATGCACAACGGTGCTTGCGAATGCATGATTTTAAGCACATCCTGGAGGCCCCACTTTAAAAAGGAAGGTTGCAGGTTAGGTCCTGGCTCCCTGAATAGTTAAATAACTTAAAATAATCTAATCAAACATTCAAAGATCAATCAGATTCATGTTTCAAATTTGTATGGAATATCACAGCTTATTGATCACTTAACAAAATTGTAGCTAATCCTCAACACTGCAGCATACCATCCTGTCAGAAAGATTTGACCTAAAGCTAGGTCAACATAAAGTTCAAGATGATGGAGAAACACCTCATGATCCACTGTATCAAATGCAGCAGTGAGATTCAGCAAAATGATCAGTCCAGACTTTTATATTTGATATTTTTCATGTAGTGAACAACCTACACAATCCACACAATGTAAAATGCTTTCATTCAGTGACAGGCTGCTCAGTGTTAGACTTGATTGTGTCCAATCAGGTTGTTCTGTTTCAGCTGCTGAACCAACAACCTTTAGGTCTCAGTTTTCCTTCTCACCAGAAAGTCTTCATCAGAATTGGAAGAAAAACGCCCAGAAAAACAACCAACTATGAATTTACAACTTAAAACAAAATCCAGATTATTTGATTTGCACTGTTCTGTGGGTCTGTTGGACTGGGACATGGATAAGGAACTGAAATTAGCAACAACCACTGACCAGTTTTATCATGGTAAGGACCAGACTTTTTTTTTCCTCTTAGATTTGACAAACCCTTTTAATTTAATTTCATATTTGCACAGGAAAAATATAATTTCCATTTAAACATAAAGGAGGATTAGTCTTTGTTCACTAGAAACCATAAGATTAGAGTATGGCAGATTATGTACATTGTGTGTGTGTGTGTGTGTGTGTGTATGTGTGTGTCCATGTGGTTTGTGTTGTTACAGATGAGAAACTGATCGATCAACATGTGGGTCAAAAACCTTCAGCGTTAGCCTCAAAAAGAAAAGATGAATTTGTTTGTTGTGCTAAAACATCAGGTGAGTTATTGACCATACCATAGTTTATTTATATAGCACGTTTAAAACGCAGCATGGGAGCTGCCCAAAGTGCTGCACAGGCTAAAACAAAACACGACCATTCTAAGGAACAAAACAGAAGATAAAAATACCAATCAAAAGCAGATAAAACATGATGAATACAAAGAACACATTAAAACAATGACACAAAACACTAAAACGAGTCACTGTCAAAAAGCCAAATCGTAAAAGTGGGTCTTTAAACGAGATTTAAAAACCGTCAGAGATGGAGCCTGCCGAACTCCAATGGGCAACGAGTTCCACGGCTTTGGGGCAGCATGCACAAATGCTCGTTCACCCTGCGATTGACAAGAAACATGATCGCAAGACCATCTGTAACTTATTTTGATTAAACTTTGTGTAGTGAATTTTCCAAAGCAAATAAAGTTGCCTATTTGGAACATTCTGCCATTTTCTCAAATTATGTTGATTCAGAGCCAATTTGCCAATTATCCAGGTTTCTGACTTGTTTAAATCATTTTCTGCTGTTTTATCTACACATGAGGTTGACAACTTTAGGATCAAAAAGTTGCTGTGTGAATAAGTCAGGGTTTTAGGACAGATCTTAATTTGTAGTATAAATCTTTAGCTGCATTTATTAAAAAATGGCACAAATTATGAAAAAATGGTCCTGTCAGTTTTTTTATAACTTCCTGAAACTAAAATGATGATCAAATTGGAACACTTTCAGTTTTAGAATTCTACCTCCTGATGTATAATCAAGGGCAGTTAAACTGGTTTCTTGGCCAATAACTAAGAGCTCTTTTTGTATTTGTGAAATGTTACAGCTTTTGTTTTTCTTTCAATTCAGTATTATAAAATGAACTTCAAATTGCTATTTTCATCCCTCAGATTCTTTAGTAAAACCAAACCTGTGGCTGCTGGTGAATCCAAACATTGTCTGTCCGGTCCAACACCGACAGGATGCCGAGCTGCAGCATGAATCTCATCAGGGAATCAAGACACCTCTACAAGAACTTGCAGGAACACAATGTCCACCCACAGCTGAGCTTCTCCCTCAGGAGGAACCACTGCATTCTTTTTCCATGGTAGTAAAAAAAATATGTATATAATTGTAAAGCGCCAGAGCTCTGCCCTCAGTGGTGCTTCACCCCACTGGAACAGTGTTGTCAGAGCTGATCTGCCAGCTCATACACTCGCAGCCATTTGATAACAACAACGTGTAGGAGTGATGCAACACGGGTTTTATTCTGAAACAAACTGGATGCACTGCACTGCCACATGTCTCACTTCCTGTCTGGCTTATGTAATTTCTTCAACTTCATGGCTTTCCACTTGGGATATCTGCAAAGGACCACTCCACAGCTGGTGTAAATGCTTTGACTGAACTCCATGATTTTCTGCCTTGGTGGAAGCCGCATGGATTCGGATCCTCGTCCGTTCTGCACTCTGTGTAAATTGGGCTTCAATTCTTGTTGTCCATCAGATAAAGAATGAAGTCTCCAGTCAACCAGTGAGAAGACGCAAAGGAAGGCTCATCAAAGTTGTGGTGAGAACACAAACTCATTGCAGATTGTTAAAGAGAGACTAATAATTTTAGGATGTGGATCTCTCAGTTAAAGCAAATTAATAGTGATCTTGTTGTAAAAAATGACATTTTGGTAGGTTATCCTGATCAATTGTGGTAATATCTATAAGATCTTGTCATAATTTGAATGACCGTTTTAAAACTGGAATTTTGTTCAATCCTTAGATTCAGAACAACATATCCAGGTTTTGATACAACAGAGCTTTGAGGAAATACTAATTCTTGTGAAGAGGCAGTGTTCTTGTGTTTTAGAAGGCAGTGTTGAGGAGAAGGTTTAAATGTGAGATATTCATTTAATATCTTTTCCTCAGGACACAAAAACCTTAAAGCCTGGATGCTGGCCTCGTCCTCCAGTAAATTACTGTGTCCTCATTGCTTTGGCCCTGAAGAACAGCCAGACTGGGAGCCTCAAAGTCCAGCAGATATACAACTTCACCAGGTTGGAGTTTAAAACCAGACTCTGAATTTTTTTTTATTTTATTTATTTATTTTTCTAAATTCGTTTATCTCCTGGATTAAAGGTAAGTGCCTTCCACAGGAAGTTAAAATATGGCTTGAAATATTCCTTCTTGGAGTTGTTTCTCTATTTTAAAATATAAATTTGTCTTTTTATAATCTTTCCTCCTCATACCACTTCTGGTCTTTTGCCAGAGAACATTTCCCGTTCTTCCAGACAGCTCCAGACGGCTGGAAAAATACCATCCGACACAACTTGTGCTTCAACAACAGTTTCCGCAAGACCTGCAACCAGCTCTGTAGGGATGGTAAGAGGAAGTCATGTTTCTGGCACCTGACTCTGGAGGGTCACCAACGGCTACGGGACGAGCTTCACATGCTGACAGGAGAAACCTTAAAACTGCTAGAGAGGAGTATGTCCAACTCAGGTGAGTCCCTCATTCCATGGACAGCACAGTCAAATCAAACGCAGCTTGTCTCTTAAGGAATTGCACAATTTTTTGTTATAAGGAAAATTTGGACTAATTGTTGCAGTATTGTCACATATTTGAGATGTTGCTGTGTAATGCAAACTCAAATGCTGTTTAATTTGTCATACAAAGTCACTAATGTAAATTACTGTGTTTTTGTTTCAGATATAATCTGGAGCTTACTAGAAATGTGATTGCAGTTCTGAAATTAAATGTCTTACATCTGCATTGTGTATTGTGGTTCTGCATTAGTGTAAATTGTCTTGTAAACAGTTAAATCACAGAACCCTAACCCTATTAAGAATTCAGTCATCCCCTGAAGCGTGGGTTTTTAGTGGTTAGGTCCTTACAAAATAAAAGCTTTTTAAAATGTTTGTTCTGTGTTCTATGGATGGATTACATAACTTATTACAAGAAAGCCTGAGCTGCATGCTAAGGCAGTTGGTTGCAGCACAGCCTCACAGAAGGTTGCAGGTTTGAATCCTGGTTGTGGCATCTTTTCCCATAATACAAGTAGGTTTTCTCCCAAAGACCAAAAAATGCTTGCATCCTAGGTGTGAGTGAGAGATGTGACTTGTCTATCGATTATAAACTCACACACTGGGGATTTCCCTCCCAACTAATGCCCGATGACTGTAGTTGAGCCCTGAATCCTCATGACTATGAGGAGAGCGGTAAAGAAGGTATGTTGGTTTAGGCAAGCTTTCAACATTCTTATAGGATTAAACCTTGTCAGTTGTAAAATCTGGCGTTTATTTAATCAAGCCTTTGAGAAAGATTCTGTCAACCCTTTTTTGAGGTCTTGTTCATGAGTGAGGGAAAAATGATAAATGACCTGCACTTGTACAGCGCCTTTCAGAGTTGGGGAACTCCAAAGCGCTTTACACTAGTGTCCATCATTCACCTGTTCACTCACACACTAGTGGTGATGAGCTGAAATGTAGCCACAGCTACCCTGGAGCACTCTGACAGAGGTGAGGCTGCTGAGCACAGGAGCCACCGGTCTGTCTGACCACCACCAGGTGTCTTGCCCAAGGAGCCAGGATTAAATCTGCAAACTTCCGATTACTGGTCAACCTGCTTAACCTGTTGAGTGAAGCGTGAGATCGACAGGCAGGTTGGTGCTGTGTCGGCAGTGATGCAGGCATTGTACCGGTCTGTCATGGTGAAGAGAGCCGAGTCTGAAGGCAAAACTCTTGATTTACCGGTTGATCTACTTTCCTGCACTCATCTATGGTCACAAGCTTTGGGTAGTGACTGAATGAGACAAAGTGGCTGAAATGAGTTCTCTGCAGGGTGTCTGGACTTTCCATTAGATATAGGATGAGAAGCTCAGTCATCCTGGAGGGGCTCAGAGTAGATCTGCTGCTCTTTCACATTGAGAGGAGCCAGCTGAGGTGGCTCAGGCCTCTGGTTAAAATGCCTTCTGGATGTCTCCCTGGGGATGTTTTCTGGGCACGTCCAACTGGGAGGAGTCCTAGAGGAAGACCCAAGACTTGAAGAGGGACTGTTTCTTGGATGGCCAAGGAATGCCCTGAGTTTCCCCTTCAGGAACTGGCCCATGCATACATGCGCAAGCGTGCATATCTGGAAGGTTTAAAATGGACAGAGTGTAGGGAGGTGTGTGCTAGATATGTTTAACTAATTTTTGTCAACGGGTAAAAGCTGGAAGAGCTGCAGCTAAACTGATATTTCCCGATGATAAAGTAAAGCAAAAAGCCACTTGGCAGCCAGATCTAAGGAAAATAAAAATAACCCAGAGGGAAGACTACACAAATGGGTTGACTCCACTCAGCTGTGCCAACTGCTACAGTGAGGAGTGGGGGAGGGACTTTGTTGGCACGCCTCTGTCCAAGGTCATGAAATGAAGGGAGCTGGAGTAAGGGTTGTAAGTAGTGCTTCAGGGGTTGCAGTGTCAATCTCCAGATAATGGAACCAAATCATTGCAAAAATGCATCTGGTCCAGATTTAGCTTATCTGTTAAAATAAATACAACTCTGAAAGCCTGGTGGAAAGTTCTCTAAAAAAATAAAACACTCATTTAGCCCATGCAAATACATCCCAGTTGGGCAGAATCCTGATGTGTCATGATGAGATGTTTTCCTTCAGCCACCATACCTGCTCTCCTGGATAAACTTCCTGGTCTGCTGTACTCCATCCCAGCTTCAGTTAAGAGTGATCATTCATGTGGGATCAAACGATGTTACACACCGGGAGCCTGTCATCACTCAGCAGCATTTTAACCATCTCTTTGACATTCTGAAAACCAGTGGAATGTCTGTTTTCATCTCTGGCCCGATCCCCACAGTTTTTCATGGATATGGACGTTTTAGCTGTCTGCTCTGTCTCCACTCCTGGCTTCAGTCTGCTTGCAGGTCCCACAGTTATGGTTTCATCGATGATTTAAACCTGTTTTGGAACCGTTTCTCCTTTTATAGGCGAGATGGTATTCATCCTAACCGACATAGCTCAAGCAGGCTAACCGCTAACATCTGATATGCTGTGCAGTCCCATAGATATACATCTATGGTGGATTTCCTTCCACAGAGACGGTTTACATCCCAGAGAACTTCACCTTCTTCGGCCTTTGCTCAAGCCTCCTCTTCAAATAACATCACTCCATATCCTGCCATGATGCAACAGTCTTCTGTGTGTCTTCCAAAGGTCACAATGATGGAAAAAGGAAATCCTGCAAACCGGATACGACCAGGCAAAAAGCTGAATTTAGTGTGACCAGCAGAGGTAAAACTAGGTGCTGACTGAGGATCAATTAGTAAAAAGGTTCCTATATAAGAAACCCAGCATAAATGTTGCATAAAGTCACTGACTAGTGTCAGATTCTTTACAGCATTTCCTCATACTAAACAAGCATATAGCGACAGTGGAGAGGAAAACTCCCTTTTAACAGGAATAAACCTCCAGAGGATCCTGGCTCAGTATAAGCAGCCATCCACCATGAAGGTGAAGAAAGCAATGAAATGCAAAGGTTAAAACACTGTCCACTTCATCAGTGTGCCACAGGTGACTCTCTGGTCTCCAAACCAGATAACACATTGCTCGTGACCTCGCAACCGGGAGGTACAGTCATAACAGAATCTGTGCTTCGTCAGAAGACTCCAGACAAAGGATAGAAACCTTAACCTTAATAAAAGAATCTTATTCTTTCTCATACAATCATGTATTCACTTTAAAGATTCATTAGAATTACATTATGTAATTAATCTTTTAACTAAAGCAATTTAATATAATAAAATAATATGCTTTGACTGCTTTACAGTAATGAATGAATCAGCATAATAGTTTATTCATGAAATTCCTTATTTCAGATATTAAATACACCAAATGAGTCCACTTGATGATTTAAAAATGATTTCTTATCAGTTAAATCACAAATATCAGCAAGTAATTAAAATTGCGCCCATATTTTCTAAGTTAAACACATTTCTTTTAACAACGGTAGTTTCTGCATATTTACTGTTAGCCTGCTTCAGTTGCTGCTGCTGTAAACATTGAAAGAATAATTTCATTTTATGTTCCACACTTCTGATTATTTTCAATGGTGTCTGTTTTTTGCAGCCACCAGGTACAAAACTAACTTGTTTTTGACTATTTTTCTGTCCTGTCTCTGTTTATTATCTTCCTGCATCTCCTCTCAATCCTAAAGAGATACTGCTACCTGGGTTCATATATATTCACCTTATGAGTTACCTTTGAACTGCAGTTCTAAAAGATCTACCGACCGCAAAAATAATGGAGTGCGAGCTGACTGACCCGGGGATGATGACAGCAACACGGAGAGTGACACTGACATCGCCACAGAAAAGGTATGTGACGAAGCTCTTCTGAGGCTGTTCAACACTGAAGAAGAGGACTTTAATGGCGTTAGTGCACAAGAGGAAGATGAGAGCGAATGACTTCTGGTAATATTTTTCCATATGGCTTCATTTCCTAGCTTCAAAGCTCTGGGAAACAGTACATTTTCTCATGTGCGCTGCTTGGACATCCAGGCTGCCGTAGATTGTGTCTACATGTTTGAAAGAGGTAAAGAACGGAAGAGCTTTGGCTTTTAGGCTTCATGGTTTAGAAATTATGTTGCAATGCATCTCATGTTTGTAGACCCCATCTTTATCTGTGCATGCTGGATTTGAACATTCCAGTCTGAATAAAACAAAGTATTATTTGCCACATCTGGTTGAGGTTTGTGCATCAGTGAGGTAAACCAGTTGGTAACTGTTCTCCTTGTTGGTAGGAAAAATCAGAGTTTTGTGTTTCTAAATGTATTCAATTTGTGACATGGCATCTGAGCTCTGTTGCCTAGGAATGCAGAGCTCGGATCTTCTGCCACACCTGTGGATTAGTGAACTGTGGCCCACACATTCTCATTATGACCTGGTGTGTGTGTGTGTGTGTGTGTGTGTGTGTGTGTGTGTGTGTGTGTGTGTGTGTGTGTGTGTGTGTGTGTGTGTGTGTGTGTGTGTGTGTGTGTGTGTGTGTGTGTGTGTGTGTTGCAGGATTTCATGATGCAGCAAACGATGCTGAGGGTGAAAGATCCTGTTAAATCTCTGGATTACCAGGATCCTCGGCATGACGTAAGTGTCGTTAACCAGGAGGAAGGAATCAGAGTCAGGCTTTGATTAACAAGTCAAATACAAACTAGGTGGTTTTGCTGTTTTTGAGTAGTGATAAAATAAGAATGAGAAGAATTTGATTTTATAGTAAAAAAATTAAACAGCTAAGATGAGTGAGTAGAGATCTGCATGGATGGATAAGTGGATACTGTATTGATACCTGGAGGAATATTAGTTTGTTATAGGATAAGTGGATACTGTATTGATACCTGGAGGAATATTAGTTTGTTATAGCAGCAGACACATGAATAACAATAGGTGGATGTTCTTGTTTGTTTCATGAACATAATTGCAGTAGTAATTAGCAACATGCCTTGAATCCAATATCATCCGGCCAGCTGCCAAAGGGAGTGTTTTTGTTTGTAAATGGGAACGCCCACCCCAAAACCAGATCTCGCCCTCTCTCTGTCTCTCTCTCTCTTTTTTGATTAATTAATTAATCAATTTATTTATTTTAGGGGTGGGACTTGATTACAAAAATATCTAATTAATTAGATGCTTTGCTATTAGTTAATCACATTTTAATCGTTTGGGAAAATGTGCCCTCAAAGCAAATTTTTTAATTGAAAATAATGAGGCAGACAATAAAACATTAGACATTAATATTATTACTATAAACTCGTGCTGTTTTCATTTATAAAAAAATGCATTTTAATTTTAGTTATTCAAATGTCACTGTGTGACATGAAACAAGACCCAAATCAACCAATATCAACCTGCCAGCTGATAAAAGGGGCATTTTGGTTTGTAAACGGGAACGCCCCTTCGTTGTACTCGCTCCTGAAATGCTACTTCACCTCTGATGTTTCAAAATAAGATATTTTCTTCGCTCATCTATCTGTTCTGTCTTTTTTTAATACAGTTATTGTTCACCCTGCCCTTTCAATATGTGTTGCTCTATCAACGGGAGCACGCTCCACACTTTCCGAACCTGAACCTGTGTTTAAGTCCCGCCTCCTGCTTTATCCACAGTTTATACAAATATTAAACTCGAAACGGGAGACGGTCAATAAAGCGGGACACAAACTTTTCTCCTGCACTTCGGACTGTCTCTCATGAGAAGCGCACCCGAAGCACCACAGCTAGACAGGAAGGAGCCAGTGGCTTTTCAAAATACAGTAAAAAAATATATATGTATAAATAAACACACATAGGCTTGTCACACATTAACAATGTTTTCTGGTCATGACACCTCCTTTGTAAATATGTGTATATAATATAAATGTAAATATGTATATAATTTTGTGGCTTTCTGAACCTGAACCTCTAATGCTGGACATTTTTGGGAGTGGCAGAGGTAGACAGAAACTACAATTTTAGCTTATAAGCAATTTTACATGAAAAACGACAAGCCTTGCCTATTTAATTTTAAATAAAAAGTTGTTTGACCTTTTTTGTTTTTTACTCACACCCTATAGTGTTATTCTGAGTGCTGAAGATGTTTTTGCTTTTTATATTTTATTTGTTAATCAGGACAGGTCGTATTAAGATCAGACATGCAGAAACATGCTAGAATTAGCCACGGACTCGTTTTCATCTTTAGTCCTGTGCCAGTTGTACATTAGGCTTTCTAGACAGGACATAAAAACATGCCATGTAACTAAGGCAGCATATTAATGCAACAGCATGAAAACAGTGTTAAGAAGGAATAATATAAACAACAGAATAACAAGCACAAGCAGCAAAAGCATTAGACAAGTTTAAGTACACACAAGAGTAAAATAAGAGTAGTGGATCGACATACAGCAACAACAATTGTTTGTGGTTTTCACTTCAATAAATGTCTTATTTTCTACTCAGATTTGATTTTTTGTTTACTTTCAGGTTCAGTGTGCTAATACAGTATGACAAAATGATGAAATGACTAAATTCACATAGGTGAGGTTGGGATGAAAAGAATGATACCAAACAAGGCATAAACAATAAAGTATAGAGTGAAATATAAAGGTGAACACTAAAACTTATCAAAACAGCTAATTATACCACCGACTCCAGAGGGTTCATCAGTTCTATAGAAGGCCTGAGTGGAGACTTACTGAGAAACCTGACTGTAGTTTAGTTTCTGCTTTCACTTGTCTCTTCAAACCTCCCAACACACACACACACACACACACACACACACACACACACACACACACACACGCACACAGACACACACACACGCACACACACACACACACACACACACACACACACACACACACACACACACGCACGCACGCACACACACACACACACACACACACACACACACACACACAAACACACACAAACACACACACAGGTAGAGTGGGCGGGGAAAACAGGTATTTTGATAATGAGCCTTATTATGAGTGTTTTAATCTGTCATGTCTCGGGGCTCCTGGGAGATTTTAAGCTCCAACAAAATTTCATACGCTTTAGAGTCTCAGAGATCAGTTTTAGATTGCTGATTAACTGCATTCTAGGTCCCCTAAAAAAGAAGTGTGGCAGCTGGGTGTAGTTTCCCCTCCTTGTCTCGTTGTAGATCGCCCCCTTGGGGCCGAGGACTCACCTCCAGCAGTGGTGCCCCCAGAAACTTTCCACAGGGGCAGCCAGATGGAGCCAAATTTAAACTTTGGGGTGGAACACCAAATTGGTCCCTGCTGGTCCCTTTCTGTCTCAACAGACACATCCAATAAAGTACTTTTTCTTTCTAAATGATGAGCCTAGCTAAATAAGGCATAGGCGATAAGTTGAAAACTATCAAATAACGATCAAACACGACTGTCTCTGTCTGTGTCTCACTGAGAACTGAACGTTTGATGAACTATAAGACAAAAGAACTCTATTCTGCTTTGATGTGATGACATCACAACACAGCATGATGACATCATAAGGGAATCTGGGTATGGCAGGGCCTGTGCACACTTTTTGTTGCAGCCAGGTCCGTTTCTCAATACTCGAGGACGCTAATACGTTCTTGTGTTTCTCAAATCCAGTCCTCAGGACCCCCTGCTATACCTGGTTTCCATGTTGCCCTCTCAGTCACCACACACACACCTGACTTAAATGAATGAGTGATTTACAGGCATCTGCAGCACTTGATGTCTTCCTTCATGTAACTGTGTTTAAAGCCATAAATGAATGAATTCCTCATGTAATGTTTTATCTGTGTCACAATTTCAACCCCTCCTCTTTTATCCGGGCTTGGGACCGGCAGAAGTGACCCAGAGAGGGACACTCTGGCAGAGTTAGTTTTTTTTTTTTTTTTTTTTTAATCAATTGGATAAAATTATAATTTATTATAAGTAATAATATGTAATAGCAGATAAAGCCACAGTAAAGCAGCAAATAACAGCCTGTCTCAGGCTGAAATCTGCATATTCGAACTAAACCATTCTAACATTTTCCATTTGGATTTTGGTTTCTGGCTTTTTCCACCTGCTGCTTGAGAATTTATATTTTTTCTAACATTTTCTCGCTGACTAACTTTCTCTCTCCTGTTTCCTTTTGAAGGATGTTCCCTTCGTTGTCTGACGTTTCCGCTGGTTTTCCAGAGGGAGAGGTGCAGGAATCACCTCAACTTTCTTCTCTGGGTCGGGTTTGACAGACTTTTCTTGATCCAGCTGTTTATTTTCCTCTTTCTGGTTACTAACACAACATGCTGATTCTCTGGTGTGTTGTGTGCCTTTGCATATCCTATCATATAAACAGTTATGGTGCACTGCCAGGGCCTTTTTTTGGGCTCAGTCCTGCAGTGGGTTGAGGGAAATGTAGGAGATGATAGGTGACTCTGTTAGGGGTTGAGAGGTGTCTGAGTTAGGAGGGATCTAGCTTGGTGCCGGTTGAATTGGGTCCAGAGCTTTGAAGACTTTAGTTTCTGTTTAACCAAAGCCAAGGGTCACGCTGGAGCTGCTTTAAGGTGGGACGCCACCATGGGTTTATACAGAAACAGCTCTTTAGGAAGTTCGTACAGTATGGAGAGAGGTCCGTCCTGATTCTGAGTTTGTTACTGAAAAACTTTTTTGAGTCAAACAAACTTTCGTGGAGCATTTCATAGAGAACAACTCCCACCTGCCACACGGTTGCTGGTCCTGCCTTATAAATGCGTTCTGAAATAAACTCAGGAGGGACGTGTTTCGCTGTGCCGTAGAACCGGCCGTTTTCATATTCTGTGTTGGTGAAACAACTCACTCCAAAGTCAATCAGTCGCAGTCGCGGGATTTCTGATCCTGTTTCAATCAGAATATTTCGTGGTTTGATGTCTCTGTGGAAGATGTTGGTGTCCTCCAGATGTTTGACGGCATCAACCAGCTGTTTAATAATTGTTTTAGCCTGATTCTCCTGTAGGGGCTCTTTGTTATTTTTAATAAACTGTGAGAGGTCCACTGCAGGCACTGGTCTCTCCAACACTAGAATCTGTTCCTGGTTGAAATCGTACCAGTCCAGGAGGGAAATTGGAGCGGACTTCCCCACCGAATCAGCTGATTCTGTCCGGAGTTTTAGCATGGCGGCTACCTCAATGCTGAGCTGCTGGCCGTTCTCGTCCGTATCTGTCCAGACTACATTTTTCTTTGGTATATGTTTGATTGCCACAGGTAAATTGTCTGCCCTGCGGTAGCCACCATAAACAAATCCAAAGCCTCCCTTTCCAAGCTGATCTTTTTGCTCGTATTTTGCCTCGAACTGATCTTTGGCTGAAGGCGAGGGACTCTCAGAATCAGACAGTCTGATTCTCTTTGCTGGACTTCCAGATCCCTCACCATCTGGTGAGAGTGACCTCTTTGAGACTCTGGATGTCTCATCCAGGTTATGTCTGGAGACGCTGCCTTCACCTGAAACCCTAGACCGTTTTGTGGGAGGTTCGTGATGAAAAACAGCTTTCCTTTTGGCAGAAGACGATCCTTTCTCAGGAACCAAATATCTGCATTCCTTGTCTGGATTTTCAGATCCCTCAACATCAAAGGAAATGGATTTCTTTGTGAATTTGTCAATTTGTGTAATCTTCTGGTTGTTTGCAGAGAGTTTGCCTTCATCAGAAACCTTAATCCTTCTTGTGGGAGGTCCAGGGTCTGAAACGGCTTTCCGTTTGGTTGCTGAAACTAAACCACGATTCTCTGACAAATGCGGTTGTTCCATGCTAATATAAGTCTCTGAATCTTTAACCAGAGCTGAAGAGTAACTCTTGTGTGCAAAAGAGTCTCCCATAATGCTAAATAACACGTAGACGATAAGTTGAAACACTATCGAACAACGAGCAAACACGACTGTCTCTGACGGTGCGTCACTGAGAACTGAATGCCTGTAGAATCCGCTTATGATCTTATGATCACGTGATGATGGAGATGATGATGATGATGATGATGATGAAGATGATGATGTCATAAAGCAAAGTTCTAAAAGGGCAAAGTCAAGGGAAAGGGCAAAGACGAGGCTGATGCTGCTTTTTGGCAAGGCCCTTAGTGCTCTCCACCCGAGGATTATATCCTTTTTTGTTTCTTCTGATCCGACCCAAGAAGTTCCAAAGACCAGATTTAAAAGTCAAGGAGATCGCTCCTTCCAGGTTGTTGCACCCTGGCTTTGGAATGAACTTCCTTTAACCTTATGTAGTACTGACAGTCTGGTAACCATTAAAAAACAGCTGAAGACCCTTTTATTTAAAGCTGTTTTTACCAAAATCTTTTGTTTTCCTATTTTTTAACTCAAATTTGTAATCATTTTTCATTGGTTTTATGATATTTTATAACTTTATGAGTTTGTTTTATTTGTATTTATTTCTGTTTTGTTTAAGATCTTTATGATTTTTTGATTTGTTTTGTTGTGTGAAGCATTTTGTGATTCTCTGTCTGTGATGAGTGCTAAATAAATAAAATGTACTTACTTACTTTAATATTATTCTTCCACGGACGTTAATGCGGCTCAAACTGCTGCGTGCACCCCCACATATTTGACATAAAAACGAGGGGCTCGGCTGCCAGACGTGTGCAATTACATTTATAAGTGGTCTGATTAACCATGGCAACATAATTATTAACAAACAATGAAACATTTTTCCTTTTCTGTGTGTTTGTGTCTTAATTTGCAACATAACAAATAAATATGTAAACAATTAATTAACCTTTAGATGCATGAATTATGAAATCTTTAACCATGATTTTTTAAACAATTTTTTTATTCATCTTTAGGTTTGAATGAAACAAATTTCAACAAATATTTTTTGTAACATTTAATAATTTACAAATAATTTATTACGTGTCCACCTCAGTGGACAACGTGCATTCTGAACATGAAATATGTTGGCTTGACTTACTGAAGTACAGATGGAGGGGTTCAAATGCAATAGTCTTCAACAGCTGTGTTTAATAGCAGAAATAAATAACAATTTTGAGTACCTGTCCACTGTAGTGACCATTATGCATCAAAGGATTAATTACTTGATTTATTAACTGTGTGATGATATGGTCACCCCTGTATCATTACACATGTGTTCGTTATGCCTGTGGACAGGCAGGGAGAAAAGAACTGTACAACACCAGTGGGAAAGAGAGGGACGGGGAAATGGAAGTACAACACTACACAACAACTGGACAGCGCGCACACACACACACATGCACACACGCGCGCGCACACACACACACACTGGTAGAGTGGGTGGGGAAAACAGGTATTTTGATAATGAGCCTTATTATGAGTGTTTTAATCTGTCATGTCTCGGGGCTCCTGGGAGATTTTAAGCTCCAACAAAATTTCATACGCTTTAGAGTCTCAGAGATCAGTTTTAGATTGCTGATTAACTGCATTCTAGGTCCCCTACAAAAGAAGTGTGGCAGCTGGGTGTAGTTTCCCCTCCTTGTCTCGTTGTAGATCGCCCCTTTGGGGCCGAGGACTCACCTCCAGCAGTGGTGCCCCCAGAAACTTTCCACAGGGGCAGCCAGATGGAGCCAAATGAAAACTTTGGGGTGGAACACCAAATTGGTCCCTGCTGGTCCCTTTCTGTCTCAACAGACACATCCAATAAAGTACTTTTTCTTTCTAAATGATGAGCCTAGCTAAATAAGGCATAGGCGATAAGTTGAAAACTATCAAATAACGATCAAACACGACTGTCTCTGTCTGTGTCTCACTGAGAACTGAACGTTTGATGAACTATAAGACAAAAGAACTTTATTCTGCTTTGATGTGATGACATCACAACACAGCATGATGACATCATAAAGAATCTGGGTATGGCAGGGCCTGTGCACACTTTTTGTTGCAGCCAGGTCCGTTTCTCAATACTCGAGGACGCTAATACGTTCTTGTGTTTCTCAAATCCAGTCCTCAGGACCCCCTGCTATACCTGGTTTCCATGTTGCCCTCTCAGTCACCACACAAACCTGACTTAAATGAATGAGTGATTAACAGGCATCTGCAGCACTTGATGTCTTCCTTCATGTAACTGTGTTTAAAGCCATAAATGAATGAATACCTCATGTAATGTTTTATCTGTGTCACAATTTCAACCCCTCCTCTTTTATCCGGGCTTGGGACCGGCAGAAGTGACCCAGAGAGGTACACTCTGGCAGAGTTAGTTGTTTTTTTTTTGTTGTTTTTTTCAATTGGATAAAATTATGATTTATTATAAGTAATAATATGTAATAGCAGATAAAGCCACAGTAAAGCAGCAAATAACAGCCTGTCTCAGGCTGAAATCTGCATATTCGAACTAAACCATTCTAACATTTTCCATTTGGATTTTGGTTTCTGGCTTTTTCCACCTGCTGCTTGAGAATTTATATTTTTTCTAACATTTTCTCGCTGACTAACTTTCTCTCTCCTGTTTCCTTTTGAAGGATGTTCCCTTCGTTGTCTGACGTTTCCGCTGGTTTTCCAGAGGGAGAAGTGCAGGAATCACCTCAACTTTCTTCTCTGGGTCGGGTTTGACAGACTTTTCTTGATCCAGCTGTTTATTTTCCTCTTTCTGGTTACTAACACAACATGCTGATTCTCTGGGGTGTTGTGTGCCTTTGCATATCCTATCATATAAACAGTTATGGTGCACTGCCAGGGCCTTTTTTTGGGCTCAGTCCTGCAGTGGGTTGAGGGAAATGTAGGAGATGATAGGTGACTCTGTTAGGGGTTGAGGGGTGTCTGAGTTAGGAGGGATCTAGCTTGGTGCCGGTTGAATTGGGTCCAGAGCTTTGAAGATTTTAGTTTCTGTTTAACCAAAGCCAAGGGTCACGCTGGAGCTGCTTTAAGGTGGGACGCCACCATGGGTTTATACAGAAACAGCTCTTTAGGAAGTTCGTACAGTATGGAGAGAGGTCCGTCCTGATTCTGAGTTTGTTACTGAAAAACTTTTTTGAGTCAAAAAAACTTTCGTGGAGCATTTCATAGAGAACAACTCCCACCTGCCACACGGTTGCTGGTCCTGCCTTATAAATGCGTTCTGAAATAAACTCAGGAGGGACGTGTTTCGCTGTGCCGTAGAACCGGCCGTTTTCATATTCTGTGTTGGTGAAACAACTCACTCCAAAGTCAATCAGTCGCAGTCGCGGGATTTCTGATCCTGTTTCAATCAGAATATTTCGTGGTTTGATGTCTCTGTGGAAGATGTTGGTGTCCTCCAGATGTTTGACGGCATCAACCAGCTGTTTAATAATTGTTTTAGCCTGATTCTCCTGTAGGGGCTCTTTGTTATTTTTAATAAACTGTGAGAGGTCCACTGCAGGCACTGGTCTCTCCAACACTAGAATCTGTTCCTGGTTGAAATCGTACCAGTCCAGGAGGGAAATTGGAGCGGACTTCCCCACCGAATCAGCTGATTCTGTCTGGAGTTTTAGCATGGCGGCTACCTCAATGCTGAGCTGCTGGCCGTTCTCGTCCGTATCTGTCCAGACTACATTTTTCTTTGGTATATGTTTGATTGCCACAGGTAAATTGTCTGCCCTGCGGTAGCCACCATAAACAAATCCAAAGCCTCCCTTTCCAAGCTGATCTTTTTGCTCGTATTTTGCCTCGAACTGATCTTTGGCTGAAGGCGAGGGACTCTCAGAATCAGACAGTCTGATTCTCTTTGCTGGACTTCCAGATCCCTCACCATCTGGTGAGAGTGACCTCTTTGAGACTCTGGATGTCTCATCCAGGTTATGTCTGGAGACGCTGCCTTCACCTGAAACCCTAGACCGTTTTGTGGGAGGTTCGTGATGAAAAACAGCTTTCCTTTTGGCAGAAGACGATCCTTTCGCAGGAACCAAATATCTGCATTCCTTGTCTGGATTTTCAGATCCCTCAACATCAAAGGAAATGGATTTCTTTGTGAATTTGTCAATTTGTGTAATCTTCTGGTTCTTTGCAGAGAGTTTGCCTTCATCAGAAACCTTAATCCTTCTTGTGGGAGGTCCAGGGTCTGAAACGGCTTTCCGTTTGGTTGCTGAAACTAAACCACGATTCTCTGACAAATGCGGTTGTTCCATGCTAATATAAGTCTCTGAATCTTTAACCAGAGCTGAAGAGTAACTCTTGTGTGCAAAAGAGTCTCCCATAATGCTAAATAACACGTAGACGATAAGTTGAAACACTATTGAACAACGAGCAAACACGACTGTCTCTGACGGTGCGTCACTGAGAACTGAATGCCTGTAGAATCCGCTTATGATCTTATGATCACGTGATGATGGAGATGATGATGATGATGATGATGATGAAGATGATGATGTCATAAAGCAAAGTTCTAAAAGGGCAAAGTCAAGGGAAAGGGCAAAGACGAGGCTGATGCTGCTTTTTGGCAAGGCCCTTAGTGCTCTCCACCCGAGGATTATATCCTTTTTTGTTTCTTCTGATCCGACCCAAGAAGTTCCAAAGACCAGATTTAAAAGTCAAGGAGATCGCTCCTTCCAGGTTGTTGCACCCTGGCTTCGGAATGAACTTCCTTTAACCTTATGTAGTACTGACAGTCTGGTAACCATTATAAAACAGCTGAAGACCCTTTTATTTAAAGCTGTTTTTACCAAAATCTTTTGTTTTCCTATTTTTTTACTCAAATTTGTAATCATTTTTCATTGGTTTTATGATATTTTATAACTTTATGAGTTTGTTTTATTTGTATTTATTTCTGTTTTGTTTAAGATCTTTATGATTTTATGAATTGTTTTGTTGTGTGAAGCATTTTGTGATTCTCTGTCTGTGATGAGTGCTAAATAAATAAAATGTACTTACTTACTTTAATATTATTCTTCCACGGACGTTAATGCGGCTCAAACTGCTGCGTGCACCCCCACATATTTGACATAAAAACGAGGGGCTCGGCTGCCAGACATGTGCAATTACGTGTATAAGTGGTCTGATTAACCATGGCAACATAATTAGCAACAGACAATGAAACATTTTTCCTTTTCTGTGTGCTTGTGTCTTAATTTGCAAAATAACAAATAAATATGTAAACAATTAATTAACCCTTTGATGCATGAATTATGAAATCTTTAACCATGATTTTTTTAAACAATTATTTTCATTCATCTTTAGATGTGAATGAAACAAATTTCAACAAATATTTTTTGTAACATTTAATAATTTACAAATAATTTATTACGTGTCCACCTCAGTGGACAACGTGCATTCTGAACATGAAATATGTTGGCTTGACTTACTGAAGTCCAAAAGGAGGGGCTTCGCTTCCGGTCGGCAAGATGGCGCCTGTGCTTGGCTTAGCTGCGGTCACCGGCCACTTTTTCAAACTTTTCTCCACTAACCTCGTTCCACCTTGCTCCTGTCTGCGATCCTCTTCAGTAGTGTCCCCGCTACCATCTCCTATGATCGCCAGACTCTTTTGTCCTTCCGTTCGTTCACGATCGCCCAAGATATGCAGCAGCAGCTATTTCTGGTAACTCTATTGATCCTGTTCCAGTTCCTCCATCACCACCCACCCTGAGCTCCCTCAATACTCTTTCATACTCTGAGCTGAGTAAGCTTGTTGCGAGGCAGAAGCCATCTGGCTCTCCACTTGACGTTCTGCCGCCTCGTCTCTGGAAGGCTGCCTTTCCGTTTCTTGGCCCATCACTTGGTCAGATTATCAATGGGAACCTCAGCACAGGTGTTGTCCCAGCTGCTTTGAAAGCAGCAGTTATTCGACCGACCCTGAAGAAACCTGGTGCTGATGTCTCTGTGATCACAAATTACAGGCCTATCTCTACCCTGCCTTTTACATCAAAACTGCTTGAGAAAGTCGTTTATCAGCAGCTGGTCTCACATTTAGCTGACTCTGATCTGTTCGAGGTTTTTCAATCAGGGTTCAGGTCTGGCCATAGCACAGAGTCAGCTCTACTGAGGGTCTTAAATGATATCTATCTATCACTAGATCAGGGTACTTCTGTGGTGCTTCTGTTGTTAGACCTGACAGCAGCCTTCGACACAGTCGACCACGCGATTCTACTCGATCGCTTGGAACAATGGGTTGGGATCAAAGTGTCTGTTCTGGACTGGTTTAGATCGTATCTCCACAACAGGACATTCTGCGTTAAACTGGGTGATGTTTTTTCATCTTGGGAGGGGCTCCGCTGGGGGGTCTCGCAGGGATCGATCCTTGGTCCTCTTTTGTTTTCCATTTATCTGCTACCTCTGGGGTCAATCTTTCGTAAACATGGCCTATCATTCCATCTCTATGCTGATGATTGCCAGATTTACTCTCCGTTGTGTCAGGAGAAAGGTCACTCTATCCAGTCCTTTGTGTCCTGTGTTAATGAGGTGAAGTCTTGGCTAATGGCCAACTATCTACATCTGAATGAGGGAAAGACAGAGCTCATTGTTTTTCACCCCAACAGCAGGGCTGTGGGTCGTTATGTTGATCTTGGCCCTCTTTCTCCCTACTCAAAACCAGTTGTTACCAGTTTGGGGTGAAACTTGATGCTGGACTTAAATTTGATGCTCACATCAATTCTGTGATCCGGTCCAGTTTCTTTCACCTGAGACGCCTTTCAAAAATCAAGCATATGCTGTCGAGAGCCCACCTGGAGCGGGTACTGCATGCCTTTGTAATTTCTAGGGTTGACTACTGCAACTCTCTCTATGCAGGGTTGTGTCAGTCATCACTGCGTCGCCTACAGGTTGTGCAGAACAGCCAGGTTCCTGACTGGGATCAGGAAACGGGACCACATCAGTCCGGTTCTGGCCTCCCTGCACTGGCTTCTGGTTTGCTATCGGTCACAATTCAAAATCCTTGTCTTTGTTTATAATTTCTTCCAGGGTGGTGCCCCCCCTATCTGGCCACACTCCTGAACAGACATTCCCCATCACGCGTTCTGCGCTCCTCTGACCAAGGCCTGCTCGCTAGGTGTCATACTCGCGGGGACCGCAGGCTTTCTCAGTCCTAGCACCGTTACTCTGGAACCAGTTGCCGCCCTCAGTTAGGCTGTCCCCATCCCTGCCAGTCTTTAAGAGTCGCCTAAAAACACACCTCCTCCGCTTGGTGTTTCCAGAACATGTTTGATTTTGGCCCTCTTTTATGTTGAATTTATTTCACAGTTTTCATTGGTTCACTCAATCCCTTGTTTTACACATTTGTCCTGGACCAGAATATTTTTGATTTATTCAATATATTTACCTACAACTGAACCATGTTCAACGCTTTGGGCTTCCTGACAGGGTTGCGGAAGGCGCTTTATAAATAAAGCTTGATTGATTGATTGATTGATTGATTGATTGATTGATTGATTGATTGATTGATTGATTGGTTGAAGATGCACCGAGGATTGCGGGCAGTAAGTCGGGCTCGTTCCTGGTAAGAGTTGGACTTTGCCAGGGCTGTTCTTCGTCATCGATTTTGTTCAAAAATTCAAAAATTTAATGGGCAGGATTTCTTTAGGTGTTGAGGATATCCGTTTTGGTGGCCTAATGATCGGGTGCCTTTTGTACATGATGTGGTCCTGTTGGCTTCAGCAGAACGTGATCTCAGGCTAGTTCACAGCAAGCCCCCACAATGCGGCTCTAAAATTGAGGCCAACCCAGAAGTACCAAAAATTGCAGTTCCACCCTCATCCGCTGGGGGCTGGTGTCAGAAGCGAGCAAATCCTCATTGACTCCCATGTTAAAAATACCAATTTCACAGCAGAAATAAACATGTTTACAGCCTGGTACCAAAACATGTTTTTTGTTTAAATGATCTAGTTTACACTCATGACAACTCTGAGGGGGGTGAATTTTTTTCTCACTCTTCTGTTAAAGTGTATTAAAAGCCTAAAATTCTGTATAATTAATGAGCATCAGACCCACGTGACCGCCGCCTCAGACCCACGTGACCACAGAGCTAGCTCCGGGGAAAGGCCTCAGTAGAGCCTCGGTCTGGCTTGGAAACTGTTCTGGGATTTTGAGTCTCTGTGTTTGTGTATTCTGTTTTGGATATTTTTTGTGCAATTGTTGGACAAAATGACTTGCTGTGGTAGTAATTGCACTAAAAGAGCGTCCAAGGAGTCTCCACTTCTTTTTTTTTTCGGTAAGTAAAATTATATTTATGTATTTTAGGTCACTGCCGAGCTGAGCTTAGATTTTAACATGTACTGTTTAACCATGAAATTTAAATGTAATAGGGTAAAACCCAGTGCATTTAACATAATGCTGCACTTTAGAAAATGGGTTGAAATATAACATGTTGGTGGAGCTGGGTTCCGACTATCGGCTTGTGGAGCTCTCGGGAGACCTCTGTTTTCCACCCGTACCTCCCCTCCCCACAGCTCGGCGCTTCTCTGTCTGATCGCGGCTTCTGTGTGCTGCGCGGGCTGACAGCTTGTGGAGCTCTGGGATGGAAACCTTTCCACCCGGTTCTCCCCAACGGCAGCTCTGCGCATCTCAGATCGCAGCGGCGCTTGTCTGCTGTGCGGCTGTCGGCTTGTGGAGGTATCTGAGACCTCTGTGTTCCACCCGGTTTTACCCAGCGGTCAGCCCGGCGTATCTCTGACTCAGAAGCTCTGGTGTTGTACACAGTTAACTCCGGTTGTAGCTAGGTTGCTACCTCCATTAGCTTAGCTCCCACCTCCGCGTTAGCTTTGGGTTAGCTTCAGGTTAGCTTGTAGCTAGTTCGACCGGGTGTCATCAGTTGATCCTTGCCTTACAGCCCCACCCTCAGCTCCACCTCTCTTCCCTTTTTTGGAATTGTCTGGGCTTGACGGAACCTGTGACACGGTCAGAATGGCGGTGGTGGCCACCTCCCATTTTAGTACAAAAACGTGATATTGGAGCCTATGGAAAGGAGATGTCCAGTATATTTATGTTGATGGTTCACAGCCAAGTGTGAAGCAGCTGGGATGAGAATCAGCTCCTCTAAATCTAAGACCACCCCCGGACTTTCGCATGGGCTTACCTGAGCTACAGCCCTGGGCCCCTGCGTGCTGGAGGCCCCGCCCTCAGTCCAAAAAGCATTTTTATTTTTGTATGTAATTCTCTAACAAGATGCTACCATTTAGCTGAGAAGCACCGGGATTTGTTTTGGCAAACATCTGTCATGACTGCTTATAATTGGTCCAAGTTTTCTCACACTTCTTACATCACGGCGGGC